CATTTTATGTGTAATAGTATATATACACACACATATTGCTAGTAACTTATGATTTAATATTTTAAGAAGAGTTTGACTTAATAAAAATTGTAATGAAAATATTTGACTATCACACTGAGATTCCCAAGTATTGTATAATTACTGTGTCCAAAATGATATATATGGGATCTGAAAAAAAAAGATATACATGGGAATCTTTATCTCCTGAAATATTTTTCTATCATATTAACACTCATTATTTGGTAGCCCTTACTAGCACCTATGCTCTGTATTAAAATTATTGGCAAACTAACATAAATATAATGATTTGGTAACACTGCATAAGACTCTTCTTTTTCTCTACCCAATGAATTATACTTAAAATGTTTGGTAGATTCATCTTCAAAGTGACTCATTTTTGAGGTTAGTTTATAACCTAGATTTATTTGTATCAAAAATTATTGTTTAGCATTATCTGATCCACACTCAATTTGTACAGTGCTTTTTTAAGTATAGGAATTTAGAAATTTAATTAAATGAGAAATAGGTTTGTATTTTATAACTTGATTTTTTTCTACTTTAGTTATTTTTATTCTATGAAAATTTTTCATTAAAATAATTGTAGTCTTTGGCACACTGAAGACAATATAATTACTGAATGAGTCTCCATAATTAACAATTCTTTTAAACTTGCTTATATTTTCATTGTTCAGAAGAACATAGTAGTTAGAGAGGAGGTAGAAACTGTAAATCTCCTATTTAAGGATGGTAGAGAACATGCAAACAAGAATAAAAGGAGAGACTCATAGAAGTGCTATAATAATATAAATATTCTACAGTCCAGTTACAGAGAAGAATAGATTATTAGTTTTTGAGATTATGGAAGAAGGCACATGTCCTCAAGTAACTGGACATTGGTTGGAACTTTCTTTAAATAAGTGTTTTATAAATTATTCTCTTTACTTCAAGAAATATAGTCTCTCACAAGGTGAGAGAAAATGGTGATAGCACTTACATCACAATGGAGGGAAGAATTTCTTCAAGAAGTAGAAGTAAAAATTATAGAAAACATCGTAGAGAGAGGAAATATGTTGTTTGGATTATTGCTCACTGCACATAATCCAAACAACTACAAAAGAAAGGCAGGGGCCAGAGAGCTAGCTTGGCAGTGTAAATGCTTGCCTGCCATGTTCAAGGACCTGGTTTGATCCCCAGTACTTGAGATTGCATGCCCATACTGACCCTGTTCTGAGCCAACCACTAAAACTAGACGTAGTGGTGCATGCTTGTAATCCCAGCACTAGGGAGGCTGAGAAGACAGGAGAATCACTAGGAGTCTAAGCTGCACAGCAAGAGCCTGTACCAAATAAAAAAAATTATATATATATTCCTTCCAACTTTTTCTGTAAACAATTCTGGAATCCTTAAGGTAGTACTCCAAGAGGTATAATTTGATTGTTTTTGTAAGAAATAGGAGTATATTTGATATCTCATTCTAGAAGAAAATAGCTCAGAATGCTATAGGTTTAAGTGTCTGTTACTGTACTATACATCTATTAATCAAGACCCTTGGACCTAACTTCCATCAGTACAAAGTCTTATAATTTTATCTGTGCAGTTCACATCTTTCTAGTTTACTGATGAAAGTAACTTATAAACTGTTGCATAGTATCCTGATAAAATGTATATCCCAGTGTCTGTAGGAGTAACTAGACACTGTGAAGTGCTCAAAAAGGTAATTATTAATTTAATAAACCACCTAAAATGTCTAGAATACTTGTTTTTTTAACCAGAGTAATTTTGTTCTCCTAAGAGACAGTTGGCAATGTGTGTGGGGGATTATCCACTAGAACATTCAACAGATAGTGATGAGAGATGTGAAACATTTTGCAATATACAGGACAGCCTCCCACAACAAAGAGTTATCTTCTTAAAATTTTTATCTTATCCCTGTTGAAAAACCAAGGTGTAGAACATTATTTATCAACTGGAAATTTATTAGACATACAAATAATTAGACTAAGGCCATAGAGATGGTTCAGTGGAATAAGTGCTTGTCTGGCAAGAGCAAGGGCCTGAGTTCAATCCCTGGTTCTGCCAACCCCTCAAAACAAAACAAAACTAAACAAAACAAACTACCAAAAACCAAGTAATTAGATTCCTTTTCAGAATAAATCAGAGATTTTGGAGGTGGTACACTGCAAATTGCTTTTAATCAGTTCTTTGAGTGATCCTGATGTATTTTCAAATTTCAAGAGAAATTGTGGACCATACTGGTATGTAGGAGCATTCAATAAATACTTATTGCCCACTAGGCTTGGACCAGGTACTTCTGCAGCTGCTTTCAAACCAACGTTTTCATAACCAGTCTTCTTTTGCTATCTTACCTAGATGTTGTTTCCTCTTGTGTAATTTTTATCTATCAAGTATGTTTTTGATGTTTATTGAATATTACTCAGTAGAATTGATAGGTGAGCCTTCTTTTCTGAGCCTCTGCTTGTAAGCATTCTTTTTTTTAAGGAAAACATTTTTATTAATAAAAACTTTAAATATACATAGAAATAGAAAATGCTGTAAACTTCCATATCCTATTACCCAGCTTCAGGGACAACTTTGCAATTTTTGTTTAAAGTATTCTCTTTCTTCCTGTTTTCTAATGGTTACAGCATTGTAAGCATTCTTGCAAGTTCTTTTTTTATTTTACAAGTCTTTTTTAAAATAAATGTCTTAGTTTAAGAGGTGGTTATCATTAACTAATATTACCAATTTATACAAGTTTTAAATTCAGTAATTTTTTAGGCCACACAAATATCTAGGGACATGGGCTGGGGGGATAGCTCAGTAGAATAAGCACTTGCCTGGCAAGTGCAAGGTCCTGAGTTTAATCTCTGGTAGCAATATATATAATATATATATGTAATATGTAATATATAATATATTATATAATATATATAATATATATATATATATATATATATATATATATATTAGGGACAGAATAGTAGAGAAAACCTCTTATTCTTACTAGATCAATAATAATTTTGCCATATTTCTAAGTTTCTAAATTCCCACTATATCCATTTTAACAATAAATTACTACCTGCTAACCAGAATAAGGAACATTTTATTAATTAAACAGATTGCACAACAAAGAGAGATTCTGAATATTTATTGAATTGAATCAAAAATAGCTCCTTGAGTAACTTGGAAAGATGGTGGTTATAGTAATATAAAGAAAAAATTGAAGGATGGGAAACACAATAAGCTATTTTATACTTAGTGAATATTGGGTGCTAAAACACTCCATAGTAAAAATACTCTTCACTTGAATGGAAGAAAAGAGTAGAATAAAAAGCATAGATGAAAAGATCGCATTTTGACTGACAGGAGGGAAGAAGAAAGGAAACATTTTAACACAACTAAATACTGTTTTTAAGTAGATATAAACATTTTTTACGTGATGTTTTAAAATTTATTTTTATTTTTATTTTGTTTTGGCGGAACCGGGGATTGAACTCAGATCCTTGTGTTCGCCAGTCAAGCGCTTATCCTACTGAACCTTCTCCCCGGCCAGGTAGATATAAACTTTAAGAGCTTTTAAACAATGGCTTAATACAATCTGAGTATTTTGGTTTCCTCATTAAATGAGGGCAATAAGTAGAAAATGGAATCATGTGCTATCTGGAGTGATTAGCTCT